TGTTGTTTGGCGGGTCCGGGCTGGGGATTCGAACCCGCCACCTTAGGTGTACATGGCTGGCGCCTTAGCCGGTTGAGCTATAGGCGCCGAGCCCTGCAGCTTCACTTGTAATAGCCCCAAACTGGAACCGACCAAACTGGGCCCCCATGATTAAACAAACTATTGTGCAACTGTAATATGGAATACTACTTAGCAAAAAAAGAAAATGAACTATTGTTACTGGCAACAATCTAGCTGGTTTTCAAAGACAGTACGCTGAGTGAAAAAACTAATCTCAAAAGGTCACAGACTATGGTTCCGTTTATATAATATTCTCAAAATGACGAGGGGGGGAAGAAAATGACTAGTTGCCAGAAGTTAGGGATGATGCTGGAGGTAAAGATTACCAAGGAGTAGTAATAGTTCTGTGTCTTGATTGTGGTGGTCGTTATATGAATCTACACACATGACAAAATGACACAGAAGTATGCACACACCTTGCACCAGAGTCAAATTCTGAACTTTTTTTTTTTTTTTTTGGAGACAGAGTCTCACTATGTCACCCTCAGTAGAGTACCGAGGAGTCACAGCTGACAGAACTTGGGCTTAAGCGATTCTCTTGCCTTAGCCTCTCAAGCAGCTGGGACTACAGGCACCTGCCACAGCACCCAGCTATTTTTTGGTTGTAGTCATCATTGTTGTTGGGTAGGCCCAGGCTAGTTTCGAACCTGCCAGCTCTGGTGTATGTGGCTGGCGCCCCAGCTGCTGAGCTACAAGTGCCAAGCCTCAAATTCTAAACTTTTATAATGTATGATGTTCTAAGATGTACCCATTGGGGAAAACTGGGTGAGAGTAAAAACTGGTATGCTTGTACTTCTTACAATTTGGTTGTAACTTCCCATGAATCTACAATTATTTCAAAATAAAAAGTTTAAGAAAATCATAATTATTCTAGGAATGTATTGTATCTCTTCTATAATATGATGGATCAAGTTGATTAAAAAATAAGTGGATTTGAAAAATATAATCAACATTCTAAATTTAAGACATATAAATTTATTGTGCCCAACGAGTATACTCTCTTCTCTTAGGCATATAGCATAGCTTACAAAAAAATTTTTTAATTGTGTAACTTGGACTCAAAAGAAAAAAATCTTGGTATATTTTAAAAATTAAGAGTTTTGGCAGGCTATGCTGACTACAGTCCCGTAAAACCATTTATATGGTTTTATGGGTGTATGTGTGTGTGTGTGTATATATATACACAGTATATATATACCCGTTTTCAACTAAGAATTATTCTCTAAACATGTCAGAATTGAAGATGGAATTTGTTAACAAAATTGTAGACTTCATACCAAATTTTGAGACATAGCTAAAACTATATTTAAAGAATATTTTTTCTTTTCTTTTGAGACAGAGTTCCATTCTGTTACCCTAGGTAGAGTGCTATGATATTGTAGCTCACAAGAACTTCAAACTCTTGGGCTCAAGAAATCCTCTTGTCTCAACCTCCTGAGTAGCTGGGACTACAGGCGCTCACCATGAAGCCCAGCTAGTATTTTTATTTTAGTAGAGATGGGAGTCTTGCTCTTGTTCAGGCTGGTCCTGAACTCCTGAGCTCAAGCAATCCACCAACCTCAGCCTCCCAGAGAGCTAGAATTACAGGCATGTACCACTGTGCCTGGCCTAAATTTTTTTTAATATTCAAAAAGAAAAGCTAAAGATCGATGAACTAAATGTTCAACCTAGGAAATTAGAAGACGACAAAATATTTATGAGGTAAATATTTTGATCAAGGTAAAAGAGAAAGGAA